TAGGTACACTCATAAAAAAAAAAGAAAATAACTCACTCAGAAGGAAAATCCTCGAGAGTGCCGCCATTGAATATTACCCAAATATTAATCTACGCCCAGGATTTTCCCTATTTCACCTTTCCTAACAGAATTACTACTCTCCCAAGTAAACGTAAACAACAGTATCAAGAAATCAAAAGAAAAGGGTTGACTCCGTCAACACAACAGTAAAAACAATATTTCCACACGTGACAGTACGTGACATAATTTTCAGTTGACAATATGAATACAATAGCTTTTTCTAAATTATTCCAGTTGCGAAGGACATTTTGTTTTGTTATTATTAGTTACTTTGTTTTAATAAATTCATTTCGTTTTTGCCTTGGAAAATTCCACATTGGACGAAAACGCGTCGGCTAATATTACAGTTTTCCTATTACCTTTTATATTTATAAATATTGTTTTTTCTACAGGTTAACAACTGAGAAATTTTTCATATATATATATATATATATATATATATATATATATATATATATATATATATATATAAAAAGACTTAAACACTAATATTCCATGGTCATAATTTATTCCATTGGAATCGTAAATACGATCCAATTCATCAGACCTACAAATTCAAAATATGTATGTATGTACGTGTATATGTTATTGTGTATGTGTGTATACGCATGTGTTTTTGAACATAAAAATATAGGTCCTTGCTAGATTAGATAATCGTTATATTTATTTTTTATATGTTTATATTTGATTTGTAACCTGTAGTCGATATTAATTTTGTCAAATTTTCTCAATTACACAGCGGCCCTTTCAGTAAATGCCCTTCAGTTTTAGTTTTCCCCGTCCCATCTCTCTCCCCCACCCCTTTTCTTTTCTTTTTCCTCTTCATCCCTCTTCTTCTGATCTTTAAGATTAGATCGTCTATTGCGTGTGTATGTCACCACAAAATGTATCCTTTCCGGTTACATCTTTAATGTATTAGACATCTGACAACATTCATATTTCTCTCACGTAAACCGTCTTTAACTCACCTCTCTAAAACTTCTCTCTGTTAAGTTTTAATCTCCCACCTTCTCTCGTCTGTTACCCCTCTCTTTAGCTCTAACATTCGTCCCACACTCTCATACTTACACTCTCTCTAAATTCTATTTTTTATTTCCGGAGTTGTTTTTTCTGTTTTCTTTTTGAATTTGTAGGTTTGATGAGTTGGATCGTATTTACGATTCCATTGGAATAAATTATGACCATGGAATATTAGTGTTCAAGCCTTTTTATTATATCCTTACTCTATCCTGGACATTGAGTTCTACCTGGATTCTATCCTCTTGGAATTTTTCATAAAAAAATTCCTATAAAAAAATTACTACTATGACATTACACTATATTATTGAACTATATACTTAGTTCATGACATAAAAACTGAATACACTTGTAAAAATAGAATACGTGGATTTAACACATCACAAGAAATATTTAAATAAAATTCTCACTTAAAAATTTTGAAAAACTTAGCGTTGCGTCTTTGCACGTTCCGATATCTTATCGGTATATCGTCTCAAGTTTTTGATTTTATAAGGAAAAAAAACACATGCCTGATGATGGATGGAAGACTGTCCGTAAGTACTAGCATTTTAACATCAAATAAACTGAAAAACTACAGACAACAAGTTTTTCTTCAAGGATCAAAACTCGCACTATGGATGAACAGGATTTTAATGCATATATTATGTTTTCTAGCGATGGATGTCGTCAATAATCGCATTGATACTTCTGATTAATTCTATGTGTGATTATTCTTTGTATATATATATATATATTGAGTCAGCATATCTTCATTCAAACATGTTTCATTGAATAATATAGACATATTCTGTCTATTTATTTTTATACTGATCCTTTCCAGTTTCTTGATGTTAAAATGAAATCCAAGGAAGACACCATAGTTTTTTTTTTGTTTTTTTTCCGATCTTTTCTAAGGTCATCTTCAGGTGACAAGAAAGACAAGATTATTGTAACTGCGATGGAATCTACATTGCGTTATGATTTCTAAAAACACGTGCAAACGCCCTCTTATTCTAATTTTCTTTTAATTTATCCGTTTATCTTTTAATTTATCCGTTGGAATTGTTTGCAAAACAAGTGGTTCCATATAAAGAAGCTGATCAGAAAGTGGCAAAAATGTAAAATGGCGTTAAATGTTATATGTATATTAATATGTTGTTGCTATATTCGTAATACATTTTGATAGGCCTCGAGAATGTTACACACACACACACACACACACACACATACATACATACATATATATATGTATATATATATATATATATATATATATATATATATATATATATATAAATATAAATAAGAGAAAGAATAGATGGAGTAAGAATCCACAGTTATAAGCATTTACTTTTTTAAAAGGTACTCATTCAATACAAAGCAGAACCATTTGTTTTCAAATTTCCAAAATAAATGGTTTTCATCATGTTTTCTACCATCG